TATATATATATGCTGCAATAGGTAATTAAATTAAGGATTGTGTGTAGAGCGACGTCTCCTGGGAGGACTTTCAAAGGAAAACGACCCTATTTAGTATTAGACATTTGAAGAAACCCCGAAAAACTCCACATAGCGAGCGAGATAGTGAGGCACGAACCAACAACCGTCTACTAGTGTTTAATGGTTTTATCCACTCGGCCATTGATGGATGATTGTATAAAACTACTAAAAGCACAAGCCGAAAAGCCCATTCTTCCGGGATCGACCGGCTGCTAAACCGACTATCTGGTACCCCGCCCATCTGAAAATATATGGGTAGTTGCAGTCTACTCGAATGAGTTCAGCAACCGCCACATAACACAAAATCCTGAAAGAGTAACCGCCTCATTCTCAGTTGAAGTCCCTGAGATCGCCAATACTCGTGAAAAATGCAGGCAGTCGTAGCCAGAACTCGGTCCCGGGAATTCCAGAGCCACAAACCTAAGCTGAGTTGGCCGGTCATCCGGTCAACTTATCAAGAATAACTTTTAATTTAACTTTTAATGGAAAAAACGAGCAATTATTTATTTTGACATCATCACAATGCCTGGCTGCAATTTTTAATTTATTTAATTTAAAATATATCTCTCCACCTCAAATTAATAGTGGCTTGCCCCTGTACATCATACTTTTCCTTTAACAATAAAGTCTGCCATCTATCTAACACTTCCCAGGAAAAAATTTTGAATTGAAATAATTGTAATTTGCGGTTTGCATCGGAAGTTCATATATTGTTAACCAGGGTCTGTCTCCTGGCCCTAAGGCTTCCATATCTACTCTCGTCTTTCATCTATCTAACTCAGTTATCGAGATTAAGAAAAGACAGACAAACGGAAGGATGACAATTGGAATTTAAAGGTCCACATTTTTTCAAATTGCAGCCCAATAATTTATGATAGAAAATTAACTAAATTAATTGAAAAACGAACCAAACATAAACTGACTAATAAAAGTACAAAAAATATATTATTAAATTGCAAAATGCATTGTATTTTACTGCTATTGTTCTATTGAATACTTTGCGAATATAAGAGAGAGAGAATTAAACTATATATTATGTACCTGGAAGACGAATT